TCATCAAAGCTGTGGACAAGAAGGCTGCTGGAGCTGGCAAGGTCACCAAGTCTGCCCAGAAAGCTCAGAAGGCTAAATGAATATTCTCCCTAACACCTGCCCCCCTCCCCAGTCTTAATCAGTGGCAGAAGACAGGTCTCAGAACTGTTTCTCCCAATTGGCCACTTAAGTCTAATAGTGAAAGACTGGTTAATGATAACAATGCATCGTAAAACCTTCAGAAGGAAAGGAGAATGTTTTGTGGACCATTTTTTTGTGTGGCAGTTTTTAAGTTATTAGTTTTTGAAATCAATACTTTTTAATGGAAACAACGTGACCAAAAATCTACAGAATTTTGAGACCCATTAAAACAAAGTTTAATGAGAAAAACAAAAAGATTAATCAAACCCAATTTGATGCTCTGTCTCTGAACAAGGGAAAATATATTGCTTCATTGTAACACATAAGGATAATACTATCATAATCTGCAAAACTGACATAAATACACCTGAAATGGAAGGTTTTATTCTTTTTTTTCTTTTTTGATACAGTCTTGCTACACAATTTAGACTCAGTGATCTTCCTGTCTCAGCCTCCTCAGCGCTGGGATTACAGGTATGCACCACCATGCCTGGTTCTCGGGCAGGCACAGCATGCAGTACCAGAGATTGAATTCAAGGCCTTGCACTTGCCAGGCAGGCACTTATGCTGCTAAACTAGCTCCCCAGCCCCTGGAAGGGTTTTTAATGCTTTTGAACTAGAGTTTCCTTTTCTGTTTGACTTAGTAAAAAATTATTTCATTTGTAGTGAAACAGGATTAAGGTTCTGTTAGAGATGAGAGTCGAAGATTGTCATTAAGATTTTGAGTAGGGAATATTTTGTGGCTTGGAATGATGTTGCAGGCCTGTAATCACAACACTGAGAATGCCAAGGTAGGTTGATAAGTTCAAGGCCAGTCTAAACTATGTAGCAAGAGGGGCTGGAGAGATGGCTCAGTGGTCTAAAGCACCTACTTGGAACAAGCTTAGCAATGCACAGGGACCGCGGTTCGATCCCCCAGCACCACATGCCAGCCAGCCGCGCCCCCTGGTGGGCTGAGCTGGCTGCGTGCGCGCGCGCGCGCGCACACACACACACACACACAAATAAATAAATGTTAAAAAAAAAAGACTAGGCATACACATTTAAAAAAAATAAACTATGTAGCAAGACTATCTCAAAAAAAAAAAAAAAAAGAATAGCTTTCAGGAAGCTAGACAGCGATAGTTGAAAAACTTCTGGGTCTTTCCATCAAAAACCATTAAGGCCATCTTTACTTTTAACATGAATTTTGATGTTGTTTTCATCTTCTTTGTTCAGAATCTTTGTGGACACAGTCTGGTGATGGTGGTGGGTGGAGAAACCATTCCATCATTGACATTATAAGAAATCTGCATAATCAGGGTCATACTGGCTACCCTACAAAAGCATAAAGGCAAGCTCTGAAAACCAGACACGTTTGCATATCTAACTTGGGGAACTTTGGTAACAGGGTGTTTTTTTTCTGGGCAACTGAATTATTTAAGTCCATCTGTGCCAGTTGAAATATGGGAAAGAACATGTAAAGAGGAATTGGGTACTTGGCCAGTGCTGGTGGTTTGCCTGTCGAATGCTGCTTAAGCAGATTTTGAGTAAAGTCCCTGAAGGAGCTGTGTAGCTGTGTAACTTGAGAAGAAAGGGTCTCTGTGGTTGGGCAGAGTATCAGTAGTGTAGGGTTAATCCTAACACAACTCCCCCTAGTCTCATAGGTCAACAGAATGCCAATAACCAAACATTCTATGAGCTAGGAGTCAACAGGCATAACTTAGAACAGTATCTAGCACGTCACAGGGGAGTGTGTGCATTTGATGAACAAATGAAAAAAAATTTCTGAATAAGAGAGGAGAAACAGCTTCTAGCTCCCACATCCTCCAGTGCCTCTCAGCCCCTCATCATTTTTGGGATAGAACCCTAATCCCCTGCGGTGTTCTACAAGGTCCCATGAGAGATGGGTCCCATCTTTGCTTGCCCTCTGCTTGTTGCCCTCTTTGCTGTTCTTCAGATAAACCAACCTCAGTTCCACATCAGGACCTTTGTATGTGGATTTTCCATTGACAGAATTTCTTTTCCTATAGATCTGGATGCAGAAGACTTATTCACTCCCTTTTGATTTCTACCCCAATGTCATCTCAAAAAGGCCTTCACCAGTGGATTAATAAAAATACACCACTTCCTACTTATGCTAAGCACTATGTCATACTTATGATTGCCTGTTTTATTTGTCTATATAGCACTCACCACCACATGGAACTAAGTTTACATAATTTAATTAGCTTTCTCAAAAGCTAATTTTTTGTTTTGTTTTGCTCACAGCTCTGCTTTCAGTTTCTAAAGCATGATCACTAGGTGATCAATAGGCATTTTCTAAACAGTAAATAGATGAATGGTTTCTCCAAAAAATATTTTGTCATTATCTAATTATACTTGGACCAAGACCAAAGTTAGGCCCAAACTCTGTGTAGATAATAGAACATAATCAAGTAGTACTTCAGCCACAGGAAAGGACTCCCAAGAAAGCCAAGGAATAACGACCTTCATTCAGAAGGTGGAAGGATACCAGATGAATCTTAGCCTGAGTTCTTGGTTGAGGAATGTAAGATTTTTTTTTTTTTTTTTTTTTTTTTTTTTTTTGCGGAACCGGGGATTGAACTCAGGCTCTGGCACTTGCCAGGGAAGTGCTTACTCCACTGAGCCATCTTCCCGACCTTCTTAGCCTGAGTTCTGCATGAGGTTGGCAGGGTTGAGGTCAGAGAAATTTCCATAAATCATCCATGTTAGATCCCTGTAGTTGCTATAACAAATTTTCCATGAACTTACTGATTTAAAACAACAGAAATTGATTCCTTCATTGT